GAATGCCTTCGTTAGCCGTAAGTTGGTTCTCATTTTGAACTTTGTTTGAATTCTGTGGTAAACCGTGGTTATATTAATTATTATTTTTGTTTTTTTATTCTCAGTGTGAATTTAAATATTGTTATACAAGTGATTGTAGATGCCGAATATACTAGAATGTACTAAAAGTACTAAATATAGCTGTTGCTCGCAACTAGTCCGCGTGGATTTAAAAAAAAATTAAAAGTATAGACTATGTTACTAACTGATAACATAGGTTTTTAATGGTGCCAGAATTTAATATCGATACAATAGTTTTTGAGTTATTTCAATATAGTAGAACCTCGGTAACTTAAAAACCTCTATAACTTCAAAGAATAATATGTTCCCTTCCCATCAGAGCCGAAAACCTCTACATACACCCTTGATAACTTAAAACCTTTTGTGTTTCCCTTGGACTTTAACTTATCGAGGTTTTACTGTACACACAAATATCCAATCAGCTTTCTTCTTTATATTAGTATTGATTATAAAGAGGATGGATTTTATATTTTTACTAGCTTTCACCCGCGACTCCATCTGCGTTAAAACAAACAAAAGGTAGAAGCCTGTGTTCTTCCACACTAACTTCTACATGTATGACAATCGTCGAGATCCCAGCAGTATAGAATACAAACATACATATAAACTTTAGCATTTATATTAGTAAGATTTTAATTTAAAAAACTCAAAAACTATTCTGTTTTTCATTTGTATTGTTTTATTTTTCCAGCTGAATTATCGGAGACCACACTCGTACCGACGGACGGTGGTCGATATGATGTCAACGTGGTAGGCAGACTGCGTGTGCCCGTATACTGGTCTGGAAAACCGACTAATGTTATGAGGTAAGCAGTGGTAGAGCCCGCTTTAACATCTTCGCACGAATGGGTCGGCTCGCCAAAATACCACGACCACGCAGAAAACAGGCGTGAAGTGGAAGCAATTCCGCGTACAGTCTGATGAGTGTGCTGCCGGAGGCCTCATTTTAGTCCCTTTCCCTTTACTGTTTTCTTAAGAGGAGAGGATGGGAAGGAAAAGTGGATTAGACGGTGGAGGAGACGCATAGGAAGGGGAAATGTCCTCTGTTTGTGCGTCTCCTCCGTCAATGAAGGGTAGGCAGCGCTGCAATTGCGGATGTTTATGTGCAGCGGTCGCTTTACATTTCGGTTGATTCAGGCCGCTTGCTCGTTTACCACCTTATATTATAAAAAAAGTTTTAGTCACATTAAGATAATGGTAACTGAACGGATCTCGATGATTGTTATACATGTAGAATAGTCTGGAAAAACACATGGACTATTTACTTCAGTTTTTTTTTAATTCCACATGTACGGAGTCGAGGGAAAAAGATAGTTTACACGATTTAGAAAATAATTAGCATATAGTTTGATTTTGAAAATGGGAGAATTTCGAATTTAGTTGGGAATTTTTCTTACTGGTAACTCTAAAAACTAACAAGTTGTCGATGTAAAAACTGCCATAAGATCCTTGTAGGTCTACTATATGATGGGTTTTATGGTTTTTATATTAAACATACTAGCTTTCGCCCGCGACAACGTCCGCGTGGAATTAATAAATACAAAAGTTGCCTATGTGTTCTTCCAGATTATTCTCTACATCTGTACCAAATATTGAAATCCGTTCAGCAGTTTAGGCTACAGACTCTAACAAACATCCATCTAAACTTTCGCATTTATAATATTAGTCAGAATTAGTAAGATTGTGATGTTTCCTTACAGATGCAGTTGGTTCTACAAAGGCACTACCGATGCGAGATATGTTCCTTATTCTGAAGCCGTGGCTGAGAAGTTAGAGGTAGACAGCTTATTTTTCTTTTTTTTATACAATACTAACTGTTCCCGTGCTTCATCCGCATGAAATTATAAATTTATTGTTTGCATTTGTCAAATTAACAATAGCAAATGTCAAAATGACATGACATGACAAACCTTAGCAAACTTTCTATCTTGATGTTGGCAGCAACTTATGGTCTCTTTCCCACATTAGGGTTTTTATCCAAAATATTTACCCCCTAAGTTTAATGGCGTTAAAATATATAGCCTAAAGCGTGACGTAAGTGTAGGGCTTTTTATTAAAGAAAGAGTTATTCAAAAATATGCTGTAATTGCCGACATGTTAGACAACAAAGAAGTGTGTGTTTACGCTTTATTATAATAGAATAGATTAAACTGATTGGGACTAAAATTAGATCTAAAATAAAAATAACTTTAACAAAAACAGGGTCCGTGGAATTACTTCCACTTCACACCTATTAGGCAGTATTGCGTAGATGACCACATTCGTGTAAAGATATATAAGAGATTCAAAAATATATAGAAGTGGCGTAGACACTTCACTTGTATATGTAGCTCCTAAAAATCACATGTTATATAATTAACTAGCTTTCGCCCGCGACTCCATCCACGTGGTATTAAAAAAACAAATGAAAGTAGCCTATGTGTTCTACCAGACTATCCTCTACATCTATACCAAATTTCATCGAAATCCGTTCAGCCGTTTAGGCTACAAACTCTAATAAACATCCATCCATCTAAACTTTGGCATTTATAATATTAGTATGATTGTATTTAAAAGAATTTTCTTTAAATAATATTTAAATGTTTATATTTTATTTTGTGTAAACACTGGTTAGTTTGAAAAGACAAGAAAACCGACTTTATTATAATTTTTTAAATTACTTATTATCAATACACGAGACGGCACTAAACTTGACAACAGGTATAGTGCCTATCAGAGAAAGTACCAAAATTATCACTGTCCCGTCTATATATTGTTTAAATGTCTGTGGTATTTATTATAGCGTCTACTGTTCGTTTCCAGGAGGAATACAAGCATGGTATCCTGACTGGAGAGTGGCACAGAAGGCTGGTGCTGCCGAGCGGCGAGCTGGTGGTGATGCACGGACCCTCGGTGATGGTCCACTTCCTGCAGACCAGCGCCGCTGATGCCTTCGCCTCTTCACCTGTGAGTGAACACTTAGGGCGATCTTATTCTAATTTGTCTGATAAGAATCCATGTAAAATATGTGATTTTTTTGTACAATAAAGTGGCAAACGAGCAAGCTGCCACCTGAATCCGCCATAATGGGAAAACTACTGCACATAGACATCCGCAATTACAGCGCTGCTTACCCTTCATTGACGGAGGAGACGCACATATAGAGGACATTTCCCCTTCCTATGCGTCTACTTCACTCTACTCTTAAGAAATGGGTGGAAAGGGGAAGGAACTAAAATTAGTCCTCCGGCACCACACTCATCAGACCAAACACGGAATTGATTCCACTTCACGCCTGTCTGTGTGGTCGTGGTATTACTGGCTCTACAGTGCAAAGATGTTAAAGCGGGCTCTACCACTGTTAAAATTTAAAATGATTTTGAGCTACCAAATTTCCTATTCTCATCCCAATCCTATCCTGGTTATCCTCTTTCCAGCGTCTATCTCACAGGAAGAGGGTATATCGTTCTCCTACAACGAATTATATGAATGCAAATCAGAAATGTAATGACCATCTAGTTCTGTTTGTACACGGCGTGGGCCACAACCGGTACGAGAATAAGAATGTTAGAATCCATTATTAAATAATAAACTTTTATTAAAGAGATTTTAATATATAGAGGAGGCATGACTTGAGATTTTTCACATAATCTAGTTTGTCTAAATAAGATAGATTAGTTTGATAAATGACATATATGAATTAAATTTATATGAAGAGAAATGCCGTACTTAATAGTCAGGTATCGTAGTGACGAAACACGCAGCGAACAATTTTGTACTATCGATATTCGGGTTACATAATTATCGAACTCAACTAAAATTATTATTTCTTATTCACTAATTTATAGGACAATTCTAGTATTGATTATAGTGTAGAGAATTTAGCGATGACAATAATAATAGCGAAATCCAATTCGATTACGTACGGCTGTAGTAGTAATAAACAATTATTTACTCTCTTTATTTGTTATAGTCATTATTAATTTAAGAAAACAGTGTTTTTTTTTATTTCATAAGTTATAACTATAAATCTATCGATTCAAACTTCTATAAGAATAAAAATCGAAAATGCATAAGATTCATGACTGATTTTACACAACCCATCCCTACTAAATTTAAAATGAATTGTCAAACTAATCTAAATTATTTAGACACACTATAAATGTTTTTTTTATTTTATAAGAAAAGATGGGGCTTATTATAATTTTGACAAATGTTTTATTGCAACTAAATTTGACAACTGATTTAGTACCTTTCAGAGAAAGTACCGGTGCAAAAATGTACATTATGCCTCGTCTATATATTATTTAAATATATTTTTATAGCAGAGTATATAGTAGAGAATGGAGATATTGACATCATAATAGATTATTCTATCTCAGTCCAAATTAACGCCTAAATATTGTAAAATAAAAGAAAGTAATGAATTTGTATAATACTAGCTGTTGCTCGCGACTTCGTCTGCGTGAAATTTTAATATATAGCCTATGTTACTCAGTGATAACTTAGCTTTCTAATGGTGAAGGAATTTTTTAAATCGGCCCAGTAGTTTTTGAGTTTACCCGTTACACACAAAAATACAAATCTCTCCTCTTTGTAATATTAGTATAGATAGCTAAAGCAATATTTATAATATTTAGGCTATATTTTGGACAATTTTAATTAGAATTACATTGATTTTAATAAAAAATTAATTGGCACATCATTTACTAGAGGTATCCTTGTACTGACGTGCCAACATTATCAGTATAATTATTGTTGTAGAGTGAACGGAGCGAGAAAGAAGTCGGAAAAGATATTCATCGAAAGGGGTAATAGACTGTTATATATTTATCTCTCTCTAGCAAACGACGACGCGACCCCGCGTTGTACGGCGCGGTGCGGCCGAGAGCGAGATAGAAGATACGGAGCCGGGACACGTGGATCATCTTTTATTGCTGTGTCATGGCGTCGGGTCAGCATGTGATATGAGGTTTCGACCTGTTGAGGAAGTTGGTAAGATTTTGAACCTTATGGAATAGAAAATAAGGTCCTGTTCAATTCTCATTGATTTTGTTTTCTGTCTTATGTCAAATATTCGATTTTTAATCTTATGGATTTGAAAATAAGGTCTGAATTAGATTATATTGTTTTATTGTCTGTCGTAATTTTAAGAAGCTGATAAGATATTCGATTTTGTGTCTTATTTACTTCAATTAAGGTCTAATTTTCGCTGTAATCGATTTTAATACTTTTTTAATGTATTAGAAAAAGAATTGTCTAATGATAAGCATGAACAAGCATTAAGACAATTGATTTTCAGTCTTATTGACTTAGAAATAAGGTTGTTTATACTAAAGATATTGTATCATTTGTTGTTTTTTTAATAGTTGATGACTTCCGAGCGACCAGTCTCCAGTTAATTCAGTCCCATTATAAGAATTCTTACGAAAGTGGAGCTGTCAGTCGAATAGAGGTAAGTTTCTTTTGAGAGTAGTGGGGCAGAATATTATCAAGGGGGCAGATTAATGATTAAGGGGACCAATGATCAAGGTGGGAGCAGACAAATGAACAAAGGGGGCAGACCAATAATCAAAGGGGGCAGACCAATGATCAAGTGGGAACACCAATGACCAAGAAGGAGACCAATGATCAAGGGGTGGGGGGCAAACCAATGATCAAGGGGGGTAGACTGATGATCAAGGGGGGTGACAGACCAATAGTCGAGGGGGGGCGGGCAGACCAACGATCAAGAGGAAATAGAATTCACCATAGGGGAAGATCAATGGCCAAGGGGGGTGCAGACCAATGATCAAGGGCAAGATCGATTATCAAAAAGGGAGGTCTAAGAGTGGGGGCAAACAAATAATCCAGGAGGCTTGTAGTAAACATTGGTAGTTTATCAATATTTAAAATATTTTACAATTTGAATATAGGGAAAGTGGGGCTGATGCCTATCCTTACTATAAAATGTGTTTTTTTATAATACTATGTTTACTTTGCAGGTTCTCCCTATATCATGGCATTCGACGTTACATTCCGGAGAGAATGGCGTTGATAAAAGATTAGCTCAGGTCACTCTGGATAGCATACCTAGACTTAGGAATTTCACTAATGATACTGTACTAGATGTGCTCTTCTATACAAGTCCCGTTTATTGTCAGGTAAGAGATTTTGTATATGTCGTAGGCAGATTGTGAATTTAGTCAGTTTTAAATCGGTCTAGATCGGTTTTCCCGACGTAGGTAACAAGGGAAAAATAAGAACTGAATATGACTTTCCTGATCGTTATTTTAATACAATATTAGATACGAGCTGTTGCCCGCGACTTCGTCCGCGTGGTATTAGAAAACATAAAAACCATATAAATTATAAAAAGCTACGTATCCCGGGAACCGGACATTTCTCGGATATGAAGCTTATCCCATGTGTACTCCACACTTTGTTTTATATCTGTGACAAATTTCAATACGATATGTTGAACCGTTGCAGAATGATCCAGTAAGCATAAAAAAACTAAATTAATGAATCCCACGGGAACCCTAACTATTCCCGGGATAAAAAGTAGCCTATGTGTTCTTCCAAACTATGCTCTAAACCTGTGCCATATTTCATGGAGATCCGTTCAGCCGTTTAGGCTACAAACGCTAACAAACATCCATCTAAACTTTCGCATTTATAATATTAGTAAGATTGGTGACAATTTAATAAAAGCAGCATTTTTTTTAAATGCTGTAAATTATTTTTAAATGTGATTTCATTTAAAGTTATTGTGGATGCTCTTATATTAAAAATGATGTATTGGAAGGTTAGAAGTTATAGAAATCTTAAATAGTAGTCTAAATAGTTTTTTATTTCTCATTTTATGCACGAATATTAAAAAAAGGTATAAATGAAAGAGCGTCGGTGGCTCAGTGGTTTGAACACTTGACTTGTAATCTACAGGTCTTGGGTTCGAATCCCGCTGTACCAATGATTTTCGATTTTTCGAATTTTCATATGTACATAATTTACCCGACGTTCTTACGGTGAAGGAAAACGTCGTGATACTTGCACAAATCGGCGAAGAAATTCAAAGATATGTGTGAAGTCAACCAACCCGCAGTGCAGCGTGGTTGACTATGGCCTAGTCACCCTTACTTAGGGTAGGCTCCCCCCTCGGTGGGGACGTATAGTGAGCTGGTGATGATGATGATGATACCAAATGAACTGATAAGAAATAGATTTTTAATAATTTCATATTTTTTCTATCAAATGCGATTGTAAACTGTTATTTTTTTACAGACAATAATAGACACCGTGTGCAAAGAATTGAATCGTATCTACAGTCTTTTTAAATCAAGAAACCCATCTTTTAATGGAGGAGTGTCATTGGGAGGTCATTCTTTGGGCAGTGTCATACTTTACGATCTATTATGTCATCAGAAACCAATGGTAAGTATTAAAAAGACCATCTTTGTTTTATACCTGCTGTTGTCCGCGACTTCGTCCACGTGTTTTTAAAAAAATAATAAAAAACATAGCCTATGTTACTGATAACGTAGCTTTTTAAGGGTGCAAGAAATTTTGAAATTTATGTATTTTTGTATGTATTGAAATAACTCAAAAACTACTGGGACAATTTTTTAAAAAAACTTTTGCCATTAAAGCTACGTTATCTCTCAATAACAGTGGCTATATTATTTATAAATTTTTAATAAAACGTGGGCGATGTCATGAGCAACAGCTAGTATATTATATATAGCTGTTGCTCGCGACTTCGTCTGTGTTAAATTAAAAAAAAATTAAAGTGTAGCCTACGTTACTCACCGATCATTTCTTTTTTAATGGTGAGATTTTTGGTCCAGTAGTTTTTGAGTTATTTCAATATATAAAAATAGAAACCTTTTCTCTTTAAAATATTAGTATAGATTTATATATCTTACTTCTTATTTAAAAATGTGAAAGTTTAGATGGATGGATGTTTGTTAGAGTTTGTAGCTTAAATGTCTGAAAGGATTTCGATGAAATTTTGTATAGAAGTAGAGGACAGTCTGGGAGAACACTGTTGTTTTTTAATTCCACGCTGACGGAGTCACGGGCGAAAGCTAGTTATCTATACTATTATAATAAAGCGTAAACACATATTTATTTGTTGCCTAAGATGTCAGCAATTACAGCATATTTTTGAATAATTCTTTTTTTAATAAAAAGCCATACACTTATGTCATGCTTTAGGCTATATATTTTAAAGCCTTTAAACTTAGGGTGTAAATATTTGGGATAAAAACCTTAATGTGAGCAAGAGACCATAAGTTGCTGCCAACATCAAGGAAGCAAGGTTGTCATCTTGACATTTTGACATTTGTTATTGATAATCTGACAAATGTAAACAATGAAATAAAATTTTCATAATTTTATGCGGATGAAGTCGCACGGGAACAGCTAGTTTATAATAAATTGTTTTACTTGTAGGGTAATCCGTGTTCTGACAAGAAGCACGTGAGCGGCGCCGCCGGCACCGGCCAGCACACCGTCAGCTATCCCGCGCTGGACTTCGCTCCCGACGCACTGTACGCGCTCGGCAGCCCTATTGGTGAGTTTACCACGCAGAGTCAACACTTAGTGTTGTATTTACAGTGGTAGCGTCCGCTTTAACATCTTAGCACTGCAGGGCCGGCACGCCCCCAGTAATACCACGACCACACAGAAGACAGGCGTCAAATGGAAGCAATTCAAGGCCTCATTTAAGTCCCTTTCTCTTTACCACCCTTTTCTTATAAGTAGATGATGGGAAAGGGAAGTGGATTTGACGGAAGGGGAAATACTCTATGTGCGTCTCCTCCGTCAATGAAGGGTAGGCAACGCATCTGCAATTGCGGATGTCTATGGGTAGCGGTCACTTCGCCATTTTGGCGGATTCTGGTGGCCGCTTGCTCGTTTGCCATCTTATGTTATATAAAAAAATATTACTGAGATAGTTACTGTTACACTTTAATAAGCAATTTATTACAATTTCAACGGTTTATATAGGCCGATTTAGCAAAAGAAAATTGATAAGTGTCTTTTTTATGTTTTACTAGCTTTCGCCCTCGACTCCGTCCACGTAGATTAACTTACTAATTATAAATTTGAAATTTGGCATATAAGTAAAGCAGCCTTGAAGAACATAAGCTACTCTTTTTTTTAAATTCGCAACGGACGAAGTCGCGCGCGAAAGCTAGTATACAATATTCAAGTAGACTATGTTACTCACTCGTAACGTAGTTTTTTATGGTCGACGAATTTTTAGAATTGGCCCAGTAGTTTTTGAGTTATTCCAACACAAACAAAAATTCTAAATTCCTCTTTATAAGATTTAATTTTTATACTTAATTTTGATCTTTGTGCTAATATTTAAAACTAAACATTATAGCTTAAGTAAATCACTGTTTTTTATATATTAAAAATTTTCCCATTGGACCGATCGGCCTTCCCTTAAACGGTCCAATGGGAAACAACCTTATGGCATCGATTTTAAATATTTTTGCATTTACATTCCATAGCGAAAAACCCATATTAAGAGAGAATAGATTTAAATTCTCGTTTTTAAAAAATAACATATCTAAAGAGTATTTTTTTTTTCCAGCAATATTCGAGTGTATCCGAGGAGTAGAGTTACTCGGCTCTGGTTTCTGCTTACCCACTTGCAAGAAATTCTTTAATATCTTCCATCCGTACGATCCAATTGCTTACAGGTAAGTAAAGTCGGTAAATTCTAGACCGACTTGAAACTGACCAAGTTTTTACACTATCGGTAACATAAATATTTTAGGCTAAAAAGAGCGTAAATATATGTTTAAAATGATCGGCAACATTTAAATTAATTTTTAGCATAATTCTTTATTTCGTCTTAAAAGCAATTATTTCAATTATTCAACAGTGGTAGGGTCCGCTTTAACATCTTCGCATTTTAAGGCTCTCAGCAATACCACGATCACACAAGACAGGCGTGAAGTGGAAGCAATTCCGCGTACAGTCTGATGAGTGTGGTGCCGGAGGCCTTATTTTAGTCCCTTCCCCTTTCCACTCTCAATAAGAAAGGATGGGAAAGGAAAGTGGATTTGACGGTGCATACGCAAAGGAAGGGGAAATGTCCTCTTTTTGTGCGTCTCCTCCGTCATTGGCAGCGGTCGCTTTCCATTTCGCTAGATTCTGGTGGCCTCTTGCTCGTTTGCCACCTTATATTATAAAAAGTAAATCCTAAAAAATAACTAGTTATAAATTTATCCTATATCAGGCAGTAATAATGTAGCTTTTTAACGGTGAAAGTGTTTTTTAAGTAACCCAAGTAGTTTTTGAGTTTGTTCGTTACATTTAAAAACATAAATGTTTTCTCTTTGTAATATTAGTATAGATTTTTGTCAATTCACAATTTGACTAGGTGCTTTAATTGAAAATATTCATAAACGATAGATAACTAAATATTAATTTTAAATGTTTCTATTTCAGAATCGAACCACTTATCGACCCTCAACTTAAAAATGTGAAGCCATTTCAAATTCCACACCACAAAGGAAGGAAGAGAATGCATTTAGGTGAGCAATTTCATTTATTGTCTAGGGAATTTGGTGAGCAATTTCATTTATTGTCTAGGGAATTTTGTGAGCAATTTCATGTATTGTCTAGGGAATTTGGTGAGCAATTTCATTTATTGTCTAGGGAATTTGGTGAGCAATTTCATTTACTGGCTAGGGAATTCGGTGAGCAATTTCATTTACTGTCTAGGGAATTTGGTGAGCAATTTCATTTATTGTCTAGGGAATTTGGTGAGCAATTTCATTTATTGTCTAGGGAATTTGGTGAAACAAATTATTAATATAAATATGTCTGTAATAAGTATTAACAGCTTTTTATAGGTAAAAGTTTAAACATGTATATTCTTCAATTGAACGTATCTTCTAGAACTGAAGGACACGATGGCGCGTGTGGGCGCGGATATAAAACAGAAGTTGATAGAGTCCATCAGAAGCACGTGGTCCAGTATGTGGAAGACGCAGCCGCCCAATGACAGACAGCTAGAGAAGGTAAGGTTTTGCCCGACTGACAGTAAGTATGCCCGACTTACAATATGTTTGCCCGACTTACAGTGATTTTTTCTCCTTACCCTACTAATTTCTGATTAAGAGTAGGGTAGGTGTAATCTTCATTTCTTTATAGATATGCTAAAAACATCAAAAACAGATTCCTGTTCCTAATATCACGTGCCCTACTTAATGTAACGGTAATATTTTGCCCGTTTAAAGTAAATTAACGTATTTTTACCTACTAACAGGGAGTCATATTTTGCCCCACCACATGAAAGTAGTGTATTGCCCCACTACAGGAAAGATATATTTTGCCCCACTACATGAAAGTTATATTTTGCCCCACTACATAAAAGTAATATTTTGCCCCACTATATGAAACTTATATTTTTCCCCACTATATGAAACTTATATTTTTCCCCACTGCAGCAAAGTTATATCTTGCCCCACTACATGAATGTTATATTTTGCCCCACTACATAAAAGTAATATTTTGCCCCACTATATGAATGTTATATTTTGCCCTCCTGCAGCCAAGTTATATTTTGCCTAGGAAGTTATATTCTACTAAATGATTTCTACTTCCAGGTTGTGGAAGAAGAGATGGAGAAGGAACAACTGGCAGAAGAGAATAAAGAAGAAACCGTCGATGATACTACTGAGGTGAGTTTTACTCGATTTTATGTGTTTTATGTACATTTTATTGTAACGTCCTACTAAAGCATTGTATAGATTTTGATAAATAAGATGTCAATGTTTATGAAGATACTATCTTTAGCCCGCGATTCCGTCCGTGTGGAATTAAATAAAAATAAAAGTAAGTAGCCTATGTGTTCTTCCAGACTATCCTCTACATCTGTATAAAATTTCATCGAAATCGGTCCAGCAGTTTAGGCTACACACTCTACAAACATCCATCTAAACTTTCGCATTTATAACATAATATAATATAATATAACCATATTTTCACAGAAAATCAATATTTTTATAATTTAGGAATAAAATTTGCATATAATAATTACTTGTTCCCGTGCGAGTTCATCCGCATGAAATTATGAAAATTTTATTTTATTGTTTACATTTGTCAAATTGTCAATAGCAAATGTCAAAATGACATGACATGATCTTGGCAATCTTGCTTCCTTGATGTTGGCAGCAACTTATGGTCTCTTTCCCACATTAGGGTTTTTATCCAAAAAATTTACCCCCTAAGTTTAATGGCGCGAAAATATATATAGCCTAAAGCGTAACGTAAGTGTAGGGTTTTTTATTAAAAAATGAATTGTTCAAAAATATGCTGTGATTGCTGACATGTTAGGCAACAAAGTGTGTGTTTACGCTTTATTATATTAGTATAGATATGTTTGTTTACTATATTTTACTGTAGATTGTTAGTTTGGAGGTTTTTTTTATATTTTTTATGTATTTCAGGTTACAAAAGAGATGTTAGGTAAACTAAATGACGGTTGTCGTGTGGATTATGTCCTACAAGAGGCGCCGTTTGAAATGATTAACGAATATCTCTTCGCTATGAGCAGCCATGTTGGTTATTGGTAAGATTTTTTACTAAAAAACTATTTTTTTTTTCGTGTACAGCTGTCAAATTCTCAATTGCAAATGTCAAAATTTAAATCAAAAAGGCCTTTGACGTTGGATAATTACCGTTACCAAGCAAACTTGCTTCCTTAAAAAAATACCCCACCAAAAAAATTATAAAAAAAAAGTGACAATAAGAAAACTTTTTTAAAGTTATGCTCGCCTGTACAACCAACGTTCAATATTTATTTATTGTAAATTGTTTTTCTTTACAAAGTGTAAATTAAATTAAAAAAATAAAAATTCTTGGCCAAAAAGAGAAGGCTCAGCTGGTGCGGTCTCCAGTTTGTCCCTAAAGGCAGCGCTGGTTTCCAGCCTCCCTTGATGTCTTGTAGTTTTTGTCCCTGTATCGTATTATTTTCCAATTTACTCACCCGCTATTAGATATAATAGCGTGAGAATATATAACCTAAAGCGTGTCGTAAGTGTGGGATTTTTTATTACAAAAACAAAAAATGACCGACTTCCAAACAAAATACACGACAGATAAAATATTCTCAAAAAACAATATACTAAAAAGTAACGAAATAATTCCTTGAAAATAGTAAACCTACCTTATTGTAAGTGTTATGTCTATATTGTACAATTATTATTACTTTGATGTCTTTAGGCTACGTATGCAAAGAAACCAAAAACTACCCTTAATTTCGTCGCGCGATTTTGAGCTAAACTATTTAACTACGTCTTAGTCTTTGACTACAAAAAATTTTAAAAAAAATGGGACCCACCTGCAAGCATTACCTTTCGGATAAAAAAAGAATTATCAAAATCGGTCCACTAGCGGCGGAGTTATGCCGTAACACACATAAAAAAAAATAAAAATAAACATACAGACGAATTGAGTACCTTCTTCTTTTGGGAAGTCGAAAAATATACAAATACAAATACAAATATTTTATTGGTAATCGAATTACAAGTCATAATTTAAAAAAAAAAAAAACATTACATATATTAAAAATGACTGAATAAAAATTGGGTACATAAAACAATCATGGAAGCAAAAATTCTTCGAAACTATAGAAGGCTTTTTGTATTAGCCATGACCTAAGTTTATTTTTACTGTGATTGTTGACATAATACATAACTAAGTAGTGTGTGTTTACGTTTTATTATATTATTATAGTATAGATATATATGTATGTATTTCAGGGAGTCCGAGGACACGATGCTGTTGATGTTGCGCGAGGTGTACTGCGCGCGCGGCGTGCCGCCCGACAACTGCCTGCCGCAACCCACCATGACCATGGAGAGGACACGCATTGTCAGTAACAACACTAGTGTCTTACATATCTCACTAATGTCTTACATGTTTCACTCGTGCCTTACATATCTAACTCGTGTCGTACACATCTCATTCTTGTCTAACATATCTCAATCGTGTCTTACATATCTCATTCTTGTCTAACATATCTCAATCGTGTCTTACATATCTCATTCTTGTCTTACATATCTCAATCGTGTCTTACATATCTCATTCTTGTCTTACATATCTCACCCATATCTTACTATACACCTCACTTACATCTCACCAACATCTCACTCATGTCTTATTCGTGTCTTATATAATCTCATGTTGTCTTACATATCTCACTAGTGTCTTACATATCTAACTAGTGTCTTACTAATCTTATTAAACTGACTCTGAAACATCACCCTCTTTGTGCCCTCTTCTATTTTAAACTACTGATTCAATGTTAACAAAGTGAGGTGTCATTTGGTACATATTAATATTCTTATACAGAGTGGTCATGTGTTTTTTTAATTACTACCTATTTTATTTCACTTAACTACTCTATTCATATTTTCTTATACAAAATCTATTTTACGTCTATAAATGTTAAATGATTTTCTTATCTTTTCGCAGGAAAACGTCAACGTAATTGGAACAGGTGAGAAACCATTTTAGTTTGTGTATTATAACTAGCTGTCCCCGCGACTTCATCTGCATGAAATTATGAAAATTTTATTTCATTGTTTACATTTGTCAAATTATTAATTGCAAATGTCAAAATGACATGACATGACAAAACTTGGCAATCTTTCTTTCTTGATGTTGGCAGCAACTTATGGTCTCTTTCCCACATTAGGGTTTTATCCAAAATATTTACCCCCTAAGTTTAATGGCGTGCAAATATATAGCCTAAATCGTGACGTAAGTGTAGGGCTTTTTATTAAATAAAATATTATTCAAAAATATGCTGTGATTGCTGACATCTTAGACAACAAAGAAGTGTGTGTTTACGCTTTATTATAATAGTATAGATTGAAACACAAATAAATTCAATAACAATGTTTATATTTTGATTGTTTCAAAGAACTTTTTAATATGGAGATTTTTCTTTCAGATTACCCATCGACCAGTCGAGGCGGAATTTAAACAGTACTCAAGAATTCTATATTTCTCTAAAAAAAATAATCCATACAAAACGTCCATACATTTTCCAAAAACTAACCTTACATCACGCGAAATGTGCATAACACAGTTTCGCAGTAACAGAAAATTAGTAGTTATAGTTTTTTTTTTACATATGTGATATTTCGATTTCGAAATAGGCGTCGCCAGAAAGGGGGAGCCATTCCCCCCTTAAAATTAATAATTTTACTATTTTACTAATTGAAACGAAAAGTTTAGTTGGATGGATGTTTGGATGTAGATAGTCTGAACACAGGATACTTTTTAATCCCGCGCGGAGAACCGCGGGCAAAAACTAGTAAGAATATAAAAATAGTAACTGCCTTAGTATTAGTATGGCGACGCCTCTATCGTTTAATATTTGGACAGCCCTAATATACAAAATTATTTAAAAAATTAAAACAATCAAGAATTAATAATTTGTTATATAAAAGTAGGTGTAATTTTAAACCGATTTAAAAAAAAATCATTTCGATTGTTTTTTTTTATGTATGTTCACCAATTACTTTGTGATTTGTGATCCGATTTACTTGATTCTTTTCTTATTTGATAGGGAATAGATGCCTTTTGGTCACAGTTTTATCGAAATTAAAAAATACCCAGTAGTTTTTGAGTTTTTCCTAAATTAGTATGTCAAAAGTTGGATATTATCTTCAAGTCGGTTTTTAATTAATAAATTTGATCCAAATAAGTTAAATCGTAGATTAACTTATCTAATTTGAGGCATAAAAGTGAGGCAAAATTTATCTCCAGACTCCCTGGGGTAAATTTCCACAATTTTATTTAATGACTGAAAAATAAATTCTCAATTAAAATTGTACGAAATCTATATATTTATATATCTATGGATGAAAAAACGTTACAATATTTCTGGTTTCAAATCAAAGTCGTTAATGGGATATAATAATTCCAAAGCATTTTATAAGTGTGTAGGGTTTTTTTAATTACCACAAAATATAGCGTTACTACCGATGTTGACATTTATGAAAAAAAAAATATAAAAACGATAAAAAAAATCTTATGATTTTTAATTTTCATTGTTTTTACAAGTTTATTATATTTAATTATGGTGGTAATTAAAAAAACACTCTGTATTCATTTCATTTTATTCTTTTGTAATAGAATATTTAGGGTCTCTGTTCGTTTACAATTGTTTTAAAATGCATTTTTTTGTTTGTTTAAAAAATTGTCATCTGTCATTTATTGGCGCCAAATTTCGTATGAAATAATAATATGTGGAAACAAATTATTTATAACATTAATGAAACATATTTCAAATTAATTTATTTTAATAAAAATCTTGAGGTTACATTTTAGTGAATATTTTTTAAAACGTGAAAAACTTCGACGAAGATTTTGTCAGCTTTGTGCAGCGCCCCTAGCGGACGTAAAGTACAATAAACCTCATACCATTTTTGGCAATAACGTAATGAATACATTCTTGCGAATGTCAAATATAACCTCTAAAAGTTTTGTACCACATTTTTACAAAACATAAATTATGAAATTTTGTAGACGGTTTATTTGCTGAAATTCACTGAAAAATATGTATTTAATAATATAGTAAACCCTTAAATGCTCAGTTTTGTATAAATTCAACAAACAAATATGAATTTGGATGCTAGTTTTTTTTGTTATTTTTTTCTTTATTGTAATACTAATCTTGCGTTAAAGATGTTTTTTTAAAGGTTTGGAAAAAATCAGGCATTTAAGGGTTAAAAAAAACACTAATGAACTTTTAAATAATGAATTATGAAAATTTGTCCGTTATGTTCTCTCCTGTAAGTTTCTTACAAATAATGGAATTTTAGTCAAATGTGTTTCTTTCAAACCTTTATTCAGTTGGTAACATGTTTTTTTTAATATAGTTACTAATTTTATTTGCAGCTTACTATGGCATAATTTCAGAAGATCTTCAGTTTGCAAATTTAAAAATATTTATTACCATAGACATTTGTTTTACATTTTATTCTTGGCAACATTGATATTAAATTATTTTAGCACAAAAAAAGGTGTTGCAAGTTTATCTTATATTCATAATAATTTTTGCTTTTAAAATGTAATTTAAATGTATTTTTTACAAAAAATTGTTTTCGTTTCAAATAAGGTTGTTAATTTTGTTTAGTTATTCGTATTTATTACTCGATCCGGAGTTTTCTTTAAGATTTAATTTAAAACAGTTAAATAAAGTTTATATTTTAACATTATTTGTGTTTTTTTCATCTCTCCTTTTAACTTAATAAACCTTGACATTACTCGTATTTTTTTAGACATTATATATATAGGTAATATTTACCGAGAATTTGTTCGACAAATCGATGCAAATTATTGATTTATTATTAAAAAAAATCTGGTTTTAAACAAATAAAAAACAAAGTTAAACAAGAAACGATATTTTAATTACACAAATTCATACTTAAAATTTGGTTTCGACAAATCTTTTTAACGAACTTCTACCTAACATTAATATTTTTACCAAATAAACTAATGGTCTATACAGAACAGTTGTTGCGGTGCAGAAAAAGACGAAAATATTAAATATTGCCTTAAGAAAGCCGATTATTTGTGAATCCTGTTTCTTGTTTAGGAGATTATTATTACTTATAACTGTAGAAACACTTTTATTCTTCTTGAATTGTTGAACTTGTACCGTTTTGTAACATTTCGGTGGTGAATTGTACGCGTCCAAACAATACCATGATTTATATTTGTCTTTCAATTTATTCCTCTTGTTGAAAACAATATCATCTGTGCTCATTTCTTTACAGTTTTTTTAATACATTAATATATTAATTTCGTTGATTTCCACTTTTTATTTACTTACGAAAAATTTACTCTCAGTTGTCAATGACATTCGACGTGTATGACAGCTGTCAATTCTGACATTTTGTTATCTATGGCTATTTAAAAAAAACAATTTATCTATCAAAAGAGGTCATGTATGAGTTAAAAATCGACTATTGATTTCAAAAAATGAGGGAAAAGGTTAAAAAATGAAACAACGTTTTATTTCCAATATTTTAATACAAATGCAATTTATTAAAATGCATATGTTAAATAACATCTATTGTTTAGTAGATATCATTAAATCAAACGACAATCTAAGTTTAATAAGCACAAATTTAATTACAGGAGGAACTTTTAACATGTGTATTAGCATAAAGAATTTCTCAATCTGTTGACAGCTGTCAAAGAGTATAGAATAAAACAAACACTATAACGTTACTGTACTATCAAAGATC